GAAGCTGAATTCGAAACCTTGAAGGGTGAATATCTTTTCGAGACTCCCAGGTTAATAGTTTACCCACCAAAATTTTCACGAGACCGTAGGTGATATTCAAGAGTGCGGGAACGCTGAGCTTGAATGGGCAAGGTTGGGCGTGGGCAGGAGGTCATTACCCTAAAATTTCAGTCTCTTAGACTCCGTGGTTCCCGAGATATTAATTTACCCGTAAAAAACTTTCACGGGTCCGTACGCGTTACCCGCGGGTACGGGGAAACTGAATTTAAATTTGCGGGGTCACACGTGGGTGGGGAACGTTACCCTAAATTTTCAGCTTCCTAGCCTTGTGGTTCCCGAGTTGAAAGTTGCGGACAAGTTGCTGCGGGCACACACACACACACACACACAAACAGTGGTTTCCGAGTTGAAAGTTGCGGACAAGTTGCTGCGGACACACACACACAGACAACCCCGTAACAATATTCCCAAGTTGAAAGTTGCGGACAAGTTGCTGGGGACACACACACACAAACAGACAACCCCGTGGGAATGTGCGTTTTGTACTGCTGTTACACAGCATAAAACGCATAAAAATCGGTACAAACGCGCAGCGCATACACAGACACACACAAAAGTATACAGAAACACACACACACAGACAACCTCTCGTCAGTATGCGTTTTCCGCATTGCATAGCTGCAAAAAACGCATAAAAATGGTGAACTCGTGTGCGCCTGAGAGACCTGATTCTGATACCTGGCGAATAATTGCCCCATCGGTTCAGTGGTGAGTTCTTAGTTTTTGACGCCCTACCGTTTACGATATTATCTTGTATCGCGAGAGGATTTAGCCCAGCGGAAAGCGAACCCCGTAGTTTGTCTTCAGGAAAGAGTTCGCGCGGTTGATGGCGGTTTGAAATAGCCGAAAAAGCAGGGCTCAGTAGGCTTTCTCAACATATCAGAGCGTGTAAACCGACTGATTTTGATAAACATACTTGCAGGGTAATGAAGTATTTAACGAAACGAATTCGCTCGTACCGCACAGTTTTGCGGACGGGCTAGCCCATGTGGCATTTGTACAGAACAGCTGGGCTCCCACCAAATGGAAGGATGCACGCATTACGAACATTCCGAGAACGCGGGCGAGAGCACTGGCTGGTTTTACAGTAAGTTTTTTTTGAAATTTGTGTTTATCGCGGTTCAATTTCTGCACATTTATTTATGGTGCCAATTGCTAGTTTCAAATTTTTATAAATTTTCACTGCTGTGTTTGCAGGTTTTCGCCGAGAACGAAGCCGTGAATCGCCGCACGCAAGAGAAACCACGTGCTCTACTGCTCGTTGCGGACAAGGTCAGAAAGCTGCCTATTTACAAATTGCATGTTTTTTTTTTGAATTCTCACAGGTTTTTTTTTTCCTTATTTTAGGTCAATTCGGCTGAAGAACTTCTTGTGGAGAAACGTTCGAACTGCTGCATTTGAAGTGCCCAGTACCTTATATACTCGATTTCGTTGTGATGAATTTCACAAATGCCGTGAATTTTGATGATGTAAAGAAAGATCTTGACGTGTGATATATCTCTGTGTATGAGTTTTTTGCTGTCTAAAACTCGAGAATGCCTTTTACAGCGAGTTGTGTGATAGTCTTCTGGTTGTTAATTTGGAATACGAGAGTAAACGTCGGGCGCGTTCCTAAAAAGTTCTTGTTGTGCTTTAATTTTCCCTCTACAATCTACATCCTTTTTGCCATCCACATCATGTTGTTTCTGCTAAGTGATCGTAAAATGTTACTGTTTTCTATTTATTTTCACTGAAAGGGGGACGATGAGCAGGTAGCCATTTTTCGGATTTTTCTGATTTCGCTGGGGGAAGGGAGGTAGGACAAGTTTATGAAAAGAGCTCTCTTTGTCATTTCTGGCCCGGATAAAAAACGTCCTCTATTTTTTGTACAGTTTGTTTCTGCAGTTGCACCATTCCGAATCGGATATCTCAAATAAGATAGCTCTGTTGTCTGTTGATATGCGATTTTGATTCCATCAAAGCTGCACTGCTTTGTACAACAGCTGTTCCTCAAGTGAAATTCCGAATGTACACACTCGATGAACTCAATCCAATTTTGTTGCTTTGACGCAGAGTCTCCGGTCTTCTGCAGCTCGATGATGTTGTGGGCCAATAATGCCAAACAAACTGCCTATGTTAAAACATAGAAGATTTCAGGCTCCCGTTCTCTTCCAGCCTCCTTACCAAGAATATTCGCTTTTGGTATCTTTAAAATTTCTACAACACTTGACTTCTTGCACCTGTTCATTAAATTTTTTTGCAGGATTAGATGTGACAGTTCCCCATCGTTTTACCGCATGCCCTGTTCTGTGCTTCGAGTGCATTTAATTTCATGAATAATTTGAAAGATTCGGTCCATACATTTCTCTCACTCGTTTGTGACTGTGAGAGACTATTTGGCTTTCCCAAAATTTCGTTCCTTTCCAGTAGCATACTGTAGCCTAGAAAGTGCGGAGGGAGGTTGGAACATGTCGCTTTTCAATACATAACGCAATAAAGTCTTCTGTGGATGCTCGGCATTGCATTCATTTGGGCTCCTCTGCTCACCTGCAGCACTATTCGATTGATTTTACTGAAGCATATATGCGTTTTTGCTTATTTGCAAAAACACGTGTTGTGACGACCCCGGTGTGTGTGTGTATGTGTGTGTGTATATGTGTGTATGTGCGTGTGTGTGTGTGCGTCCGTCCGGGTATTTCAGCTCGACACTCAAGCAAACTCCGGTGCCAGAATTTGTAGAGTGGGTTCCCCGGCCAAGTGCCACCCCAGGACCGCGGTACCCATCCTCAAGCACGTCTAGGCCCCGCGTACGAACGCCTCAATGTTTTGGCGGGAAAATCGCTAACTTGGGAACCAGAAAAGTTAGCTGAAGTTTTGGGATTATTTCCTCCGTCCATACAGAACTCAAAGACTTTAAATTCAGTCCCCAGGTGTGCGCGTTTCCGGCGTACGGCCTCGTGAGGGTTCCTGGCGCGGAAATCGCTGGGTCGGGAACCAAAAAAGCTGGGGGCTGAAATTTTCAGGAAATGTTCCCAACTCATCTACAAATTTATCAAATTCAGCCCTCAGTTATGCATGGTTGCCACGTACGCCCCCGCGAAAGTTTTTGGCGGGGAAATGGCTAACTCCGGTAGCTGGGAGGCTGTAACTTTTAGGAAATGTTCCCAACTCATCTACAACTTAAATTTATCAAATTCAGCCTCCGTTGTGTGTGGTTGCCACGTACGGCCCCGTGAAATTTTCTGGCTGGAATTTGGGTAACTCGGGAACTGAGAAAGCTGGGAACCTGGGTATCAAGGGGATTTTCCCTGTTCAAGTATAGCGTGGATAATTAACTTCCCGAAGTTCGAGGACCAGTATGTACAAGAGGTTTCTAGCTAGCGGAATTTCGAGTGATCTTATTACAGCACGAAACACTGCAAAAACGCATGATCGCACGGACCCGCCCAGTGCGCGTCGCCAATGATTCGCTCTGAAGTAGCACAGGTAGCAGTGTTGCAAAAGTCCGAGTTTGAAGCTAGAACTAAAATGAACTAAAACCTAAAGTAACTCTAAGTAGCAGTGTTGCAGCTCTATTCCTAGTTTTTGCGTAATTCCAGGGTGAAAGGGGACTCTCTTCCTCGCCTCCGTCGCCCACCCCTAGGAGCCCCACTCTTCCTCCCACTCGTCGTCTCCTCCCCTTCCTCCCTCAAGAGTCCGTCCCGGACCGCCCCCGACTTTAGCTTAGCTCCTAGATGACTTGCAGGATTGAGTTTCAAAAAATCCATCAGGTGACTCGAATGCACAAAAGCTCACAGGTGCTACGGAGGGGGCGGATCGAACGTATAGCCACAGAAAGAAAGCAAAGGAGTGTTCGAATCTCTCCAATGAATTTCAATAAAATTGTGCGCATCTTTACTTCGTACTGCTCTGCAATGGGCGAGCTTTCCCGGTTCAATTTTTGCGCGCTGTGCTCTTTCAGGCGTATTTTTGTGAACAGCTGTGGTTGTACATGTGACGAGCTGCTGTGGAACCGATCAAGGACGAGCGGGATGTTTGTGCTGGCACTGATGGAGCGTGCCGTACAGATCAAACCGCATTCTTTTGGGGAGTCGCATGAGCAGGTAACCCCTCAGATTTGCTTGAGTAGAGCTTTCAGCGATTTCGCTTCGCTCGTTTGCTTTGCGGAGATATATCATCATTTGCAGAGTGGATGGAAGTATTGTAGGCCAAGGCACAGTCAGTGGAAGTGGACGATAAATGAAAAACTGAGTCGAGTTCTATCGTTAATACGCGATAAAGTACTTGCAAAATGAACGACTTAATGAGCCAAAACCGAAATTAACGACTTATTGGACCGGAACATTCCTTTTCATCTATTTTTTTTTTAAAAAAAAGATGATTTTATACGCTCATTTTTATATACGCCATAATTAGCATCTTTATTGAACGTGTAAACAAACAAACAAGTGAACAGGGGAAACAGGTAAACAAAGAGTGTTGTGGTGTTTAAAGAGTTGTTCATTATTGAGTACTTTGAACGCCATATTCCTCTGGGTTTGCTGATAGCGCATAATTGCTGCTGTTGCTCTGTTGGATTAGTGCTGCTTGAGATAGGATTGTTTAGCTCTGCTGCAACGATGTGCGAGCAGCCATTCCACATATCCTGTACAATATTTTGGCATAAAGCACAGGTATCCCGTACAGTACATTAGACCATCCTGGCAGATATCCAGTCGCACACCTAATTTATTTTTTATTGTTTTAGGTGTTGAAAAAACGCTTGAACGACATGTTTGTGAACAGAATAGTGCCTGGTTTAGGTCTTTGCGTTATCATATATGATCTAGTAGAGATTGGGGACTCTTTTGTGCTACCCGGTGACGGCAGCAGCCATACAAAAGTAAAGGTGAGTTTTTTTTTTTTTTTT